CCCCAAAACCCCAAAACCCCAAAACCCCAAAACCCCGGGGATAAGGATTATGGTTGAGAGGGTATACAATAATGATATGGGAGATGTAGGATAAATAGTAACAAAAGCAGTTGAAAGCGTGCAAGATCAAAGGAAACCTTGCTGCGATGATGAAAAAGAGAGGTGAGAGGATTGGGGATGAGAAATGAAGGATCGATGAAGCTGGTGGTTTAGTTGATACCAGTTTTGAGAAGATTTACATACTAAAGATAGTCTCAAGTTTTGATAAAGTGTAGTATATGGAGAGAGTCATATGGATATAATCAGGCAAGGTAATGGAGAGTGTTCTACAGAATTATAATAAATAGAATTCTCAAGCTCATTCCATAACTTTTAGCTATCATCTTTCCTTGTCTATACTCATCTTTATTCGTAAAAACTCGCTTGATTAATATGATAATTAAAATGAGAGTAAACTGTATAAATTTTTAACTTACTCACATATTTTCAATTTTTTCCTCTCCTAAATTTTTGAGCTTTAAAATGTAGTAGGAAAGAGATTAGAGCCTTCCATACCAGTCCTGTGACTTCGTCTAATCATAATAAACTTACCAAATGAAACTTTAAAATAATAAAGAAATTAGAGTACTTTCATAATAAAAATTGCCAGATTCATCAGCTTTCAGAGTGTAAAGACAGATAATTTTCTGTTTTAAGCGCTTCAGATATTTCTTTATGTAATATAGGCAACATAAAAGACGATTTTGCATCATTCCTATGTGGCAGTATACCCAAAACAGCCTCTTGGGCTGCTCACGTTTTGGTGCAAACAATAAACTGTTCTTATATGAAATAATTATTATTTTCCATGAAAAATTGACAAGAAGTGTACATAAAATTTCCTCAAATTACTCCTAAATATCTGTTTGCTAATTATTTAAAGTGTTATTCTACTTTTTACGGTATAAGGAATAAACATGGCTTGTCATAAGTATTTTAAGAGATAAGTTTTATAATTACCCCACTAGGAGGGCTCTGCATCCTTCCTCACTATACGTTTGTGCAAGGGAAGGTCTTCAACGGTGTTCTTTGAATATGCTCTGAAAGCTTCCTGGCTATCACAGCTCTTCAGCATCTTTTTATTTCTTATCTGAGCTGCGTATTTTAAGAGGTTACTAATCTCTTGCTTCAGAGATGTGCTCGATTTTTTATGACTAGCTTGGAACACAGCATTTTTTACTCTTCTTTCGTTCTCCGATGAGACAAGCTTTTGTTTATTTAACCCGAGACGAGGTAGCTCTTCAAGTTCTTTCTCTCCCTCTTGGAAATGAACTAATGCGTTATTATTCATGTAAGAGTTTTTTCTAATTTTCTTGTTGGTTAATGAGTTCTGACTCATATTAATAAGAATCTTTGCTGAACTCCGGATTCAACAAGTAGTGACCTCCTCATTGAGAAGATCATCTGAGAGGTTTTCGTCAAATTGGATTTTTTGAGTAGAGTCCATAATTAAATATATTTATCTAATAATTATCTTACGGTATTTTAATAACTCCATGGGGTTTTGGGGTTTTGGGGTTTTGGGGTTTTGGGGTTTTGGGG